GCCAAATCAAAATTTTCCTTCACACGTAAGGAATCCGGTATTTGTTTTATGAATTTTCAAACCTTGGGTGATTCTATAGAATTTATACTCGGAATCTATCTGCATATTTTTTATTGGGTTCTTCCTCGCATAGTTCAAATCAAGTTTTACGTGTTCTGGCGTGGAGGTCGGCTGATCTCATCCGATGGGGATTTGGCAGTCGGCATCTGATGAAGATGCTTATGTGGATTCCGATTTCCACCCCACCCCCCGGGCTTCCCTGTGACTTGTGAGAATGCGCCAAATAAAAAACTCTAATTCTAATGCGGTGGTTTGTAATTAATATAACATGCATGATTACTTGGAGGTGGGCCACCTCCATGTGCTTGGTGGTCTACGAGTGGGGTCAGCTTTTTGGGATTTTTTTCCTTTCAAATATTAAATAAAAATTTAGTTTGATAATATAATTTTTACATAATGGAAGTTCTTTTGTTTTATCGTTTTCAAGCATCTATCCGTAATTATGACGATTTTCAAAAAAAGTAATATTTCATGCTTCTTATGGATAAATATTTCGTGGTCCCATGGATAATTAATTAAGATTTGGTGAGCATTCATGTCATGAAAATTACACCCACCGCTTCCTCAGGTAAGAAATGCGTCTCATTCTATACTAGGCTATCAGCATGCCCCTCGCAATAATGAAAGTCTTACGCTAATAATTAGTTGACATTTTGATATATTATACTCATTTTAGCGAGGCTTATTTCTTATTGTACATATATGGCATATTTATTAGCCTGCATTTAATAAGTCTTGAAGCCAAAATCTGCTGACTATGATTTATAACTGTACTTTCACAGGTCTTGGCTAGCAAGACCAAGATTTATATGGTCCTGGAGTACGTGACTGGAGGAGAATTGTTTGACAGAATTGTGAGTATCATTACCATTTGTCTTCTGGAATAAATCATATCAGCCAATCACGTGGCAATGACAATGGGATACACTTGTTTTCATAGGCATCTAAAGGCAAACTTCCAGAGGCTGACGGAAGGAAGCTTTTCCAGCAGTTGATTGACGGTGTTAGCTACTGTCATGATAAAGGGGTCTTCCACAGAGATCTCAAGGTATTTCCTCCTCACATCATAAGAAGAATTGTGATAATTTATTGCTGGCCTTTTTGACTTATACCTCATACTGAAAAAATGACGCTATATTGCTGCAGCTGGAGAATGTACTTGTAGATGCCAAAGGCAACATAAAGATAACCGATTTTGGCCTAAGTGCTTTACCCCAGCATTTTAGAGTAAGGGTTCTTTTAAGCACGCCTCGATGACGAAGTATACCATATTAAATAAGTATTCTCACACTGCATTATTTGGTCATTGACTTGTGATTACTGAATGAAAATTCAGGCAGATGGTTTGCTGCATACCACCTGCGGAAGTCCCAACTATGTGGCCCCTGAGATTCTTTCTAATAAAGGATATGATGGCGCAACATCAGATACATGGTCCTGTGGGGTCATCTTGTATGTTATCTTAACAGGATATCTTCCGTTTGATGATAGGAATCTTGCAGTTCTCTACCAAAGGGTATTCAAATTCTGCCCTTCTGCTCTCCTTTACCAAAATTACTTTATAATTTCAGCAAAATAAATAGTTAGAAGATCATCTTGATTCTATTTCTTTTTGATGATGATCTGTGCAGATTCTTAAAGGGGATGTTCAGATACCAAAATGGCTATCGCCTGGTGCAAAAAACATGATAAAGAGGATTCTTGATCCCAACCCTGCTACTCGGATAACAATGGCTGGCATCAAACAAGATGAATGGTTCAAGCAGGGCTATATTCCAGCAAAGCCAGAGGATGAGGAAGAGGGCGTATATATTGATGACGAAGCCTTTTCCATCCACGAAGTGGTATGTAACTTGCTACTCTATTTTTGTTTTTTTTTTTTTTTTTGGCTTGTAATTTTTCTTTTGACCTAACCCCGAGCTATGTTATTGGCAATAGGCTCACGAAACAGAAGATAAGAGTCCTGGATCACCAACCCTTATCAATGCATTTCAACTGATAGGGATGTCTTCATGCCTTGACCTCTCTGGCTTCTTCGAAAAAGAGGTGAGTGTGAAAGTATTTGGCATAATTTTTGCTGTATTTAACTATTCTTCGCTTCCGAAGGATATTTCCTACGCATATTCGAACACCTCTGTTTTGATTTCTAGGATGTCTCAGAGAGGAAGATAAGATTTACGTCCAACCTCTCGGCAAAAGAATTGATCGAGAGGCTTGAGGACATTGTGACAGCAATGGGATTTACCGTCCAAAAGAAAAATGGAAAAGTTGGTACCGTTGCTTATACTATTTGGATGACCTTTCTCCATTACCATCATAAATAAATGAACCTTTAGGTTTGCAATAATTAACGTCAGTGTATGATCAAATATTTCAGGTGAAAGTGATACAAGAGAACAAGGCGCGTAAAAGTTTAGGCAATCTCACTGTTGCAGCAGAGGTAGGGATTATTCTTATATTCTGTCGAATTTTAACATAATGATTTGAAATATGCAGATCAGTAGACCAATCTAGATATAAGAAGACGAGTAATATAATCACGTGGGTCATATTTTTCATTTTCCAGCGTCACTCACGACCTTCATTTTGCATCTCTTTCATGATCAATTGATTTGTTTGGTGTGCATAAAACTCTAATTTCATTTCTGCAAATGACTACATGCTCATTTTTTTTGGGGCATATGAAATGATCATCATTTCAAATGTGACAGGTTTTCGAGATAAGCCCATCCTTGTATGTAGTAGAGTTAAGGAAATCCTATGGAGATTCTTCTGTATATAGACAGGTTCGCCCTCTCACCCCCTGTCTCCCTCTTAGTCTCTCGTAGCTTTCGTCTTTGCAAAACCAGAAACTGATGTTTATATGCCTGTCTCCTATGATATGATGCAGTTGTGCGAGAAGTTATCAAATGATTTGGGGGTTCCGCCAAGGACCGGAGCGCTCGTAAGTGGATAGGCCTCTGAGAACGGAACTATTAGAAGCCATCCCTTGTATATGTCTTTTCTAGTTTTCTCTCTTGAGAGGTAGCGTAGCTAAGTAGATGAATTAAAGTGTCCATAGCTATGTAGTACGTTATTCATGTTGTCAGTTGTAAGCTAGCGATGTGCATTTATATTGTAAAATGGGCTGCAGTTCAAACATTATATTCAAGGAAAAACATTTATTACACCTTTTTCTTAGCAAATTTCCGTGGAGGATTACTTTGAGCAGTCGGTCTGGCGGTGAATAACGGAAATTTTTTGATGTTATATAAAAAATTTTGGTAATAAATATTTAAGTTTTGCTTTAGCTTTTACTCTTGGACGGCATGTTCTTTCTGATCCCCCTGTTGCTGTGTAAAATCTAAGCTGGTGATGAGTTAGGCTCTGTTATGCCTAATTTGCCTTGACCTTGCCCTATCTGATTGGGCTTTTCTGTAACCCGAAGTGGACTTTTTGTGCCCCACCTGGATTTATCGGGGCTGTCTTTGTAATGATGCCCAAAAAATGGACGTTCTACCCAAGTCTGGTCTTATAATCAGAGCTCCTGCTTAATTTTTTCACCCATGAAGCTAAACTTCATTCAAATGACAAAGCAAGTCAAATTTATTAGGATGTTCAAGTGTGAGTAGATTTAAGTTGATGTGACGAGTTACACATCGAATGGCGCTATGATTGATATGTAATATATATAAAAGAAGACTGACGCATAAATTTAAATATTAAATTTTTGATTTAAGATATGATATCTTTTCAATATTAATCTGAAAATGGGATTGGCTCTGCTTTCGTCAAGTGACTTCACACTCCAAAAGAAATGGCTATTTACAGCAAGACTTATAGGATCACTATAATCGAGTATTCAAAATTATTTATTGCGATAATCTTACTCTTCAAGTGTCGAAATCATTGTAATGTCACTTTTGACTAATGGAGAACAAATTGATCATTAATTCTAAATTAACTTTTTAAGTTTATTTTTGTTAACTTATTTTTTTTAAAATTTTTAATTTCTTAAAGAGTATTTAAGGGATTGAATAACAATATCTATATAACCAATAATAAATAATACATCGACACATAGAACCTATGATAATATTATTAGTTGAACATTAATACAAATAAACAAACTTTTTCCCTACTTGATAAATACCTCGTTGGAAAATTGTGTGACACTCTAATCATGACATGTTTCAGTTAAAAAATAGAGGTATCAATTACTTTACATTGTTTTGACCAAAAGGGGGGAAAAAAAAAACTTTACATTGTTGAACCTTGTACTAGCTACTCCTGAATGAATATTTTCAGAGCAAAAATATTATTTAGCCTAAAGTTAATTAATTAACAATCAACGTCAATGTTTATTAGTTGCGAGGCAATATTGTAATGATTTTAATATTTGGAAACTTACTTAAATAAATAATTTAGAAAACCCAATTTTTATTGTAAAATAATTTTTTTGCCAACCGTAAAATAATTTAGATACACTTTAATCCTTAGTTATGTTTCATGAAAATTGTAACTTGCTATAAACTTCATGTGAATTGTTATCATTAATATATCGGTAAAGACCATCTGATTTTTGGCGTGAATATACTGGCATCCTCAATAGACATACACATATATACTCAATGACATTGAAGACTGATATATATACAGATATATAATATTGATGCTTTATAAATTATAAGCAATGATATGTATTTTAATAACACAAATTAATTATCCAATATCTCCTGTGCAATTTTGATTCGCTACTCTTCCTTCATTTCAGTGGTCCATCCGAGGCAAGCTGAAGCTGTCGCCAAATCGGTGAGTTAGGATTTCCTACCTAGTATTTTGGCTAAGAAGCCAGTCGTCGTTTGAGAATTTAGGTGCTTTTTATTTCTAAATCTAATTAATTAGCTAGTTTACTGCCAAGTATAATGGGAGGACCATATTTTCCACATCAATCTTGATATGCCTGATTTTTATTCATAGTAGGAACGAGTGATATGCCTACTTATGGAGATTTTCGATATCACGAGTGAGAAACCGAAGTGCAGAAGCTCAGACCACTAGTCTCAATCGGAAACCGAGAATGATTTCGCTTCACATGCAGGTCCTTCAGCCTAGCTCAGTGAACCATTGCTTGCCAACCCGCTATGGAGTTGAGTCATGCTCATCCATGGCTGAACTCAAGCAACATCATTCCTTCTTCATTAAACTCGGCCTCTCAACTAACAACGATGCCATGGGACGCATAATCAAGTTTTGCTCTTTGTCTTCAAATGGAAATTTCCCCTATGCTGTCCGAGTTTTCTGCACAACTCCAAACCCAGATGTGTTCATCTACAATACCATAATGAAAGGTTATTTGCAGAACCATCTGCCCAGAAATTGCATTCTCTTGTATTCATTGATGCTAGAAGAATCTCTGGTACCCAATAGTTTTACATTCCCATCTGTTATAAGAGCTTGCTGTGTTGATAATGCTATTAAGGAAGGAAAACAAGTGCATGCCCATGTTGTGAAGTTCGGGTTTGGAGCAGATAGTGTCTCCCAGAACAATCTAATTTATATGTACGCGAATTTTAAATCCTTGGATGAAGCTAGAATGGTGTTTGACAAAATGCCTGTTCGAGATGTGGTGTCTTGGACTACTTTGATTACTGGGTATTCTCAATGGGGATTCACTGACGATGCCTTCAATGTGTTTGAACTTATGTCGGAAAAGAATTCTGTGTCTTGGAATGCGATGATTGCTTCTTGTGTTCAAAGCAATCGTTTCCAGGAAGCATTTGCTTTGTTTAATAAGATGGAGGAGGAAAAAGTGGAGTTGAATAAGTTTGTCGCCGCTAGTATATTAACTGCTTGTACAGGACTAGGAGCTTTAGAGCAGGGGAAGTGGATACATAAACATATTGAGAAAACTGGGATCGAATTAGACACAAAACTTGCTTCAACGATCATTGACATGTACTGTAAGTGTGGTTGTCCGGAGAAGGCATTTGAAGTTTTCAGTAAATTACCTGAGAAGGGAGTTTCTTCATGGAACTCCATGATTGGAGGGCTTGCAATGCATGGGAAAGGAGAAGATGCAATCAAACTTTTTAGGGATATGGAGAAGGAAATGATTCCACCTGACTACATAACCTTTGTGAATCTTCTTAGTGCCTGTGCTCATTCAGGACTGGTTGAAGAGGGGCAATACTTCTTCCATTACATGATTAATGTCCACGATATTGAACCCAAGAAAGAGCATTATGGCTGCATGGTTGATCTGCTTGCCAGGGCTGGAATGCTAGAAGAAGCAAGAAACATCATAGATAATATGCCAATGAGTCCTGATGCAAGCATATTAGGTGCCCTTCTTGGAGCTTGTAAAATCCATCATAATGTCGAGTTAGGGCAAAAGATAGGCAAGATGGTTATTGATCTAGAACCTGGAAATAGTGGGCGATATGTGACATTAGCTAACATATATGCCAATGCTGGAAGATGGGAAGATGTTGCTAACATAAGAAAGTTAATGAATGATAGGGGAGTGAAGAAGGAACCAGGTTTCTCCATTATTGAAATGGATGGAGTTATGAATGAGTTCATTGCAGGTGAAATGGCTCATCCTCGTCCGGATCATGTTCAAGCGCAAGCGATATACGCCAAAGCCGAAGAAATGTTGGAATCGATCAGGTTGGCTGGCTACGTTCCTTGCACTGATGCTGTATTGCATGATCTTGTTGAGGAAGAAAGAGAGAATCCCTTGTTCTATCACAGTGAGAAACTTGCAGTCGCTTATGGCTTGTTAAGGACTAAACAAGGTGAAACTCTCCGTATCACCAAGAATTTGAGAATTTGTAGAGATTGTCACCAAGCAATTAAGCTAATCTCCAAGGTTTTTGATCGTGGTATAATAATAAGAGACAGGAACCGGTTCCACCATTTTAGCAACGGAGACTGTTCTTGCAGAGACTATTGGTAACTGCTTGAAGGGATGTGTTGATAGAACTCCTGTATGTCTAGTTTTATGCCTCACTTAAAAGCGGCATGCATAAAGCATAATATGATATATTTATATTACCACATAATATTCTGGCCAAAAGAAATATACTACCACATAATGTAATATCTTCATATTAGCACCTAAGTGCCACAAGCATATTGGTGCATAATTGTTTTTTGGTCAGAGATCTGGCAATACTTTCCAATTGATAATTAGAGACTAATGCTCTCATGATAGATAAATCACCCAAACGAGTTCTGTCTTTTCTAAGAAATTTTTTTCTATACATAAGGCTTGATTCATACTCAGGACGTCATATTTAAGAAACTCAACAATTAGCATGTATCAAGATTTATTTGTTATTTGTGCACAATCTCATTTTGTTTGTAAACTAATATCAATATATATTTAGTAATAAATTCAACTAAATGTTAATGTGTACTTAATTATAAATTACTATGATATTATTTCAATAGTAGAGAAGAAGAATAAGACCGGTTTATTTATCAATAAAAAATTTGTCCCATGTAAGTTGATTTCTATTTGTAAAATCGGTGAATTATGTAACACTGACTTAGCCCTTACATGGGTTAGTAAGCTTTTCTTTATGAGTAATATTTGATATTTTTCATGAGGAAAAAAGTTCAACTTCTTCTAAAAGAATAAATGGCCCTTTGAGTTTATTAATTAAATTTTCTTTAGACTCGCTGAGTCAACTCAACCAAATTTCCCATTTAAGTAAATCCAATACTAATCGGTAACAACCTCACACCAATATGGGTTCTAAAAAGAATCCTGTTTTATGAACATTCTAAAGCCTTTTATTTAGCCAAAAACATGGTGACTTTGGTTTTTTTAAAAATATGGAATAACATAAAATAGACCCATGGAATATGTTGTAATTTATTTTGCATAAAATTTATATTATTATTAACTCTGAAAATATTTAAAAGCTAAATAATGATTAAGTATTAGTAAGGAATAAGGATCTCAATTAATTCCCATAAAAAGTACTCAATCTTGTGAAAAATAAAAATTAAAATGAGAAAATGGGATAACACGGCCGGGTCGAGTTGACTCTTGAGCCTCCTCACCCAGCCATCCACTCGCGACTCACGATTCCCAGGCGATTTCGGCTCCTCCTCCGTCTCCGATCAAACTCCGATCATACATACGCCCCTGAAGTTTTCTTCTTCCTCACGAGAAAGCTTCCGATTCCTCAGAATGTTGCTCTCTGAATTCGGAGAAACCTTCAAGTTCTTTGAAACCTTCGGATATATTAGCCTTCACCGTTAGCTGCTCCTATTTTTGTGATTCTTTTTCCATCCCGTCCTGTTCAGATCACGGCCAATATGTTATCTCAGATCGGTAGGATGAAAGGCTATTGCTCGTCATTTTCTGTGGTGATGACACAGATTATAAATTTAATTTAATTCAATGATTTCTTGCTCTTCTCATTTAATGAGTAAATTTCCAGATCATAAATTTCTTTTTCTTCTTCTTCGAACTTTATTCCTCACAATACCGAGATCATCATGAAAGTCAGTTTTTTTTTTTTGGGGGGCTCTTTTTTCCTCCTTCAAGTTTGAATTTTTAGTTTTCATTTGTTCTCCTGATTATGCCAGAAATATTAGTAGCTGGCTAGCTGCTGACAATTTGAGCTTGAAATTCATGGATTTTCATTTTCTGAGTTTAGTGGGATGTATGGATTAGCTTGATTAGCTGGAGAACACACGCTTTGGAAAATAAACAATTGTGAATTTTGTTGCTTTTGGTTTGGGTTAATCAGATGCTAATTGCTAGCATCAAACTAACAGAGCTCCAGCAAAGATGTGAAGGAAGAAAACAAAATAAAAATTGTTTGTTCCTCTCTGAAACAGGTAGTAATCTCTCAGATGATTGTGTCATAAGTTTCATGAGTATTGAACCTTGAACTTCTCGTTCAGTTTAATTATTTATTCAATGTTTCAATAATCTATTTCTCTCTAAAGGCTGAAGTTACATTTGGCGCTTGTTCAAATATCCTCTTTAAAAGATGAAAATACTCAGCAACTGCGGAATAAAACTTAAATGGGCCTCAGGAAGAAGGGGTGCTTATACATGGATATGGCCAACTTTTCAGCTCAGTCATCACAGTTGTAATGATTTTTTAAACCTAACCTTTTTGCTGTTCGCTGGCATGTTTCAAAACTTGTCTCTTGCTTATCATCAAAAGAATTGTTTCAAACTGCCTCTCTATACAGCTGTTAATTCATCTCAATGATATAGGCTGTTTTTCCCTATTTAAACGTCTTCCATCTATTGTCTTTATGATTTCTGGCGTGGTTTATGCGTTTTTAATTTTCTGGTTATACTATTTACAGCTCTGAGATCAGTGCAGCAGTTTGCCTGCTCAAATGCATACCATGATCACTGGAACAGGGAAGGCTCTTAGATTGCTGGATATGTTATAATTGTGGGACTTTTATGTTCCTTGGATTCAGCATTCTTTCAGATGTGAGCAGAGGATTTATGTTTTGGGTAAGTATTTGAACTAATGGCTCCAATTCGCTCCACTGGGTTTGTCGATCCTGGTTGGGATCATGGTGTTGCTCAAGATGAGCGAAAGAAGAAGGTCAGATGCAATTACTGTGGGAAAATAGTTAGTGGTGGCATATACAGATTAAAGCAACATCTAGCACGAGTTTCTGGGGAAGTAACTTACTGTGAAAAGGCTCCAGAAGAAGTCTACCTAAAAATGAAGGAAAACCTTGAAGGATGCCGTTCCAATAAGAAACAAAAACAAGTTGAGGCACAAGCATATCTGAAATTCCATTCTAATGATGAGGAAGATGAGGAAGAGCGAGTTGGTTATAGAAACAAAGGGAAGCAATTGATGGTTGATAGAAATGTTTCGGTAAATTTGACTCCTCTTAGATCATTAGGATATGTTGACCCAGGGTGGGAGCATGGCACTGCTCAGGATGAGAGAAAGAAGAAAGTGAAGTGCAATTATTGTGAAAAAGTTGTCAGTGGAGGTATAAATCGGTTTAAACAACATCTGGCAAGGATTCCTGGAGAAGTAGCACCTTGTAAACATGCCCCCGAGGAGGTTTATCTTAAAATAAAAGAGAAATATGAAATGGCATCGCACTGGAAGGAGGCATCGACGACCTGAGGCCAAGGACTTTCCAGCTTTCTATTCAAAGTCAGATAATGAAGAGGAAGAAGATGATCAAGTTGATGATGCTCTGCATCATCTGTCCAAGGAAACTATGGTAGATGTTGATAAGAGATTGTCTAAAGATTTAAGAAAGAACTTCAAGGGATTCTCATCTAGTAGTGGTCCTGAACCAGTATTAAGAAGATCAAGATTGGATTCTGTTTATCTGAAAATGCCTAAGAATCAGACGCCTCAAACTTACAAACCACTAAAAGTTAAGACAGGCCCCACTAAAAAATCACGCAAGGAGGTCATTTCCACAATTTGCAAGTTCTTTTATCATGCAGGGGTTCCTTTACAGGCTGCAAACTCCATATACTTTCACAAAATGCTGGAAGTAATTGGTCAATATGGCCAAGGACTGATATGCTCTCCAAGCCAACTTATTTCTGGTCGGTTTCTTCAGGAGGAAATCAATACAATTAAGAATTACCTAGTTGAATACAAGGCTTCTTGGGCGTTTACTGGTTGTTCTATAATGGCAGATAGTTGGAGAGATACTCAGGGTAGGACTTTAATTAACTTTCTGGTTTCTTGCCCTCATGGTGTTTACTTTGTTTCTTCAGTTGATGCCACTAATGTTGTAGAAGATGCATCAAATCTATTTAGGCTTCTAGATGAAGTGGTGGAAGAAATAGGCGAGGAGAATGTAGTGCAGGTATTTTGCTCCTTTTTAATCTTGTGGCATCCTCCTTCATCCTCAATGTCATCTAGTAGCAGTTATTTATCCTTGTTTTTCTTATTCCCCTTTTTGATATAGGTAATTACTGAAAATACCCCCAGCTATAAAGCTGCTGGGAAAATGCTTGAAGAGAGGAGAAGGAACTTATTCTGGACCCCGTGTGCCACCTACTCTATTGATAGGATGCTTGAAGATTTTATGAAGATAAAATGTGTTGGAGAGTGCATGGAAAAGGGCCAAAAAATTACGAAGCTCATATACAATCAAATATGGTTGTTAAATCTCATGAAGAATGAATTTACTCAGGGACAGGAGCTTCTGAAGCCAGCTGGCACCCGATATGCCTCTAGCTTTGCTACATTACAAAGCTTGCTGGATCATCGGGTTGGTCTGAGACGAATGTTCACATCAAACAAATGGATTTCATCTAGGTTCTCCAGCACAATCGAAGGAAAAGAGGTGGAAAAAATTATCTTGAATGTTACTTTCGAAGAAAATGCAATACGTCAGGAAGTCAGTAGAACCCAATAATGCAAGTACTCCAAAAGCTTTACAGTGGCGAAAGCTTGTCAATGCCATACATATACAATGACATGTACAGGGCTAAACTTGCAATCAAAGCCCTTCACGGTGATGATGCTCGTAAATATGAA